CAAGGAGCAGAGCTCTGAGAACACAGCTGCTCCTCTTTGGTTTGTACAGCAACTTCAGAGAGGAAAGACTCTCCACTGCTCCTCTTCACCAACTACACCAGTGTGTTCAGGGCTCTGTGTGCTCAGGCTTCAGTGTGCTCAGGGCTCAGTGTGCTCAGGGCTCAGTGTGCTCAGGGCTCAGTGTGCTCAGGGCTCAGTGTGCTCAGGGCTCAGTGTGCTCAGGGCTCAGTGTGCTCAGGGCTCAGTGTGCTCAGGGCTCAGTGTGCTCAGGGCTCAGTGTGCTCAGGGCTGTGTGCTCAGGCTCAGTGTGCTCAGGCTCAGTGCTCTGTGTGCTCAGGGCTCAGTGTGCTCAGGGCTCTGTGTGCTCAGGGCTCAGTGTGCTCAGGGCTCTGTGTGCTCACGCTCACACACTTCACGCACACTCACACACTTCACTTAGACTCACACACTTCACTAACGCACCTCACTCACTCACACACCTCATTCACACTCACACACCTCACTCAATCACACTCACACTCACACATCTCACTCACACTCACACACCTCACTCACACTCACACACTTCACTCACACACCTCACTCACACTCACACACTTCACTCACACTCACACACTTCACTCACACGCCTCATTCACACTCACACACCTCACTCACTCACATACCTCACTCACACTCACACACCTCACTCACACTCACACACCTCACTCACTCACATACCTCACTCACACTCACACACCTCACTCACTCACATACCTCACTCACACTCACACACCTCACTCACACTCACACACCTCACTCACACTCACACGCCTCATTCACACTCACACACCTCACTCACTCACATACCTCACTCACACTCACACACCTCACTCACACTCACACGCCTCATTCACACTCACACACCTCACTCACTCACATACCTCACTCACACTCACACGCCTCATTCACACTCACACACCTCACTCACTCACATACCTCACTCACACTCACACACCTCATTCACACTCACACACCTCACTCACCACTCACACTCACTCACACTCACACACCTCACTCACACTCACACACCTCACTCACACTCACACACTTCACTCACACACCTCACACACACTCACACACTCACTCACACACTCACACACTTCACTCACACACCTCACTCACACTCACACACCTCACTCACACTCACACACCTCACTCACACTCACACACTTCACTCACACACCTCACTCACACTCACACACCTCACTCACACTCACACACCTCACTCACACTCACACACTACACTCACACACCTCACTCACACTCACACACCTCACTCACACACTCACACACTCACTCACTCACACACTCACTCACTCACTCACACACTCACACACCTCATTCACACTCACACACTCACTCACACTCACACACCTCATTCACACTCACACACCTCACTCACACTCACACACCTCACTCACACTCACACACCTCACTCACACTCTTCAGTCACGCACATACACACACACACTTCATTCACACACACTTCATTCACTGTACAGAGGGCACAAGAACTCCCTCTTGGGTTGCAGTGAGAAATGACGTCACTCAAATGACTCTAAAACTATAACTGCTAGTTTCAAAATCCAGCGTCAACAATGGTGGAGTCACACAGGCAGATTAAATGTCAAACTAAAACAAGCACAAACAAAACCCTCATGGAAATAGACATGTGAAGATGACCTGCATATATCCCAAAAGTCCGGAATTGAAAAGTGTGAGTCTGGAACTGGAGTTCCATACATTTTAAGGCCTCGTGATGAGTTCAAGGTACTCCCGTTAATTACAGACTGTGGCTAAAAAAGTGGAAGTAATCTTTTAATGCTCCTTTTTACTCTGATAATTAGCGCAGTGCTCATTCACTTGGTTATTACATTCAGTCCATTACATTTCCAAAGAGGAATTAGGATGAATGTGCTATATACAGAGCGTGCCCATACAAACACAAGGCTCTTTTACACAGTTTGGGATCTATATACAAAAGTATATATAGGCTGTAACACTGGTGACATTTGGCAATTTGCAGGATAACTGAGGCTGAATGTAAGTAATTAACAAATCAATTTACAAAGAATAATACAAGGCAAAGTTGTAGGTCAGATCTGTAGAGAGGCCACTATGCTGACAATTGAGAATACAGGTTTTTAAGAGACTATGTCAAGTAAAAATATATAGTCCAGTTTCTACATAGAAGATTTGACCAAGATTTTTCAAGTGTTCACACAATTTACAATGCAAATCTGGTTTATTTCAATAATTAGATTTAAAACCAGATTTATAGTGACTTATGTTATGTTTAAAGCAGCTCTGCTTGTGTACAAGTCTCTCCATGGTCGAGCACCAAAGTCCATCTGTGACATGTTAGTGTCATATGAACCATCTCACACTCTGAGGACCTCAGGGACCGGCCTCCTGCTGGTGCCCAGAGTCACGACTAAACAAGAGCGTTTCAGGTTCATGCAGCTAAAACCTGGAACAGTCTGAACATGTGAGACAGACTCTTCTGTGACGCTGTTTAAATCCAGGCTCAAAATATTTCAGTTTAACTGTGCATATAACTGAAAGGTTTTCATTCCGCACTCTTCTCTCCAATTTATGTCCCTCTTTTTAAATTTTAATCTTCATGATTATTTATGTTTTGATTTGTTTTTATTATGATTTTAATGTATTTCTTATTCTATCAAGCACTTTGAATTACTTTGTGTACGAATTGTGCTGTACAAATAAACTTGCCTTGCCTTATGTGAGGAAGAGCATCCGGTGTAAACTCCTGACCCAGAATGACATGAGAATGAGCAGGAGTCCTATTGTTTAGCAGCACATATATGAAAGCTGTGTGAGACTCAGTGGAGCTGGTCTGTATGCAGCACCTGTAGTGTTGTTTACTGCACCGGTGTGATGGTGAGAAACGCTCCCCCGCTCACAGGCATATGCTCACGATGTGCTCATGAATATATCCAAATACATTATGCAACTTAACTCATTATGCACTAGGTGTTCTGCATTTTAACTGCACCTATTTACTGTTTTTAATGAAGATGTCCCCTCTCAAGTGACTACAGTGTTTTGGGCCATTTCACAGTAATGCTGGTGGTCAGGGGTCTGTGCTAGGGATTTGTGATATTATATTTTTCGGACCATAAGGCACACTTAAAATCCTTTAATTTTATCCAAAATTGACAGTGCACTTTATAATCCAGTGCGCCTTATGTATTAATTCTGGTTGTGCTTACTGACCTCGAACCGATTTTATGTGGTACCTAGTGCTCAAAAATCTGTCAAAATATTTTATTACGACTTTGGTAAGTTATGGAGTCACACCGCTTCATGGATTGTTCAAACATTATGGCTACCGTAGTCAGGAGTAGGGATGGGCATGATTAGTCGATTAATTGATAATGGATCAGTAAGAATTTCATCGATTACGTTAATTTTAATCGACAAACCGAATGTAGGTTGCTGTGTGTAGTGTGACCAAACAGGTCTGTACATGTGTCTCTGCATCAGAAGGAGCGAGACACAAACAGTCGGGTCAGTCTGCAACGTACTGAAGCACAAATGTGTATTTAACGATGACTTGTACAAGAAATTCCACGCTTTCTGTTGCGTTCAGGACAAGTGTGAGTCCATGTGCACAGTGTATAAAGCAGGAACATATGTTTCTGTGTCCAGTGGGAAAAAGTTTTGCCAGGTGAGAGTCGCTCAATGTCGATGACAAGGCCCCACCTCCCTCCCCCCGTACGGTGTCCTGGTTTTGACAAACACAAATCTGGTCACACTAACCTGTATTCTACTGAGTCATGTCTTTTAATCTGACAGAAATTGACCACATCAGTGCACAAGAGCTGTAGTTTTATCTTCGCTTAGTTTATGCAAATAGCGATGCGGTTTTAAGTTTTGTTTCTGTGAGAGTTGCGCAAAAATTAATTAAACACATTATAATTCTATTATATTAAACGGATTGATGTGGCTCTAGAGTGGTTGCGGTTTATATGTCAAAAAGTTTAATATATTTATGCAGATTAGTAGTGCAGATAGTAATAATAATGATGATACTTTTAATATAAAAACGTTAATGATTAATCGATAATTGATCGTTAATTCTTCCGACGATCAATTAAGAAAATTTAATCGAATGCCCATCTCTAGTCAGGAGTCTCTTGGCGTAAAGGGCAAATTATAGTTCTCTGTCGACTCACTGCACACTGCTGCTGTCACACAAGAACACATATTTTCCATTGAGTCGTGTCCTTTAGTCTGACAGAAGCTGAACTCCATCAGCGCACAAGGAGCGAGCTGTTTTTTCGCTTTTATTTTATGCAAATGAGCCATGTGGTTTTAAGTTCAGTTTCTGTAGAATATAAGCAAATGTGCAAAAAGCTGCTTTAAACACATTATTACTCAATTTATATTTGAGTCATCCTTGTAGGGAAAAAAAAAAAACCTTAAATGATTCACTTTCATAATACAAAGATTCAAAGACAAGATAAGACAAGAAGACAACACCGGGCGAGTTACATCACGATCTGCCAATGGATCGTGGACATCTGGGCTAACGATCAGTCTCAAGTGTCGTCTATTTGTTTTGCTTTAATGTGCCTTTTAATCAGGTGCACCTTATGTATGAAAATAGATGAAAGAATTCCACATTATTGATATTGAGCCTTATAATCCGGTGTGTCTTATAGTCTAAAAAATACAGTATATAGGTTAGAGTATTGCAGTATCGATACAGGCCTATACTGACTGGTCTCTCTGAGGTATAAAGGGAAGCTAATAGTTGTAAATGTTAGAAATTAAAATGATGACAGTGCAGTTATTATCTAAGAGGTTTTATTTCCATCCCTCCATGTCTAAGCACAGCCTACAAACTGTCCTGTTTGTACTACTAGAGCAGGTGGTCCCATAACATCTATATCTTGTCCTTCTTTGCACTACTTGGGTAGGTGGTCTCATACCTGGCTGAAATTGTCCAGAGCCTTGTGCAGGTTGGCATGCATGCCCGTAGGTGGCTCGTTGGTGATCTTGATGCAGTTCTCCAGGATGCCCTGTGGGATGATGTGGCCCTCCGGTGTGGAGGAGGGCTCGGCACTCACAAACACCCTGCACTGCTCGTGACTGCTCTGTGCCTGCTGCTCTAGGAGCTTCTCCAGCGTGCCCAGCCAGCGAGCTACCAGATGGATGTTCTGCAGCACACAGGGTCACACAGGGTCACACAGGGTCACACAGGGTCACACAGGGTTATTCATTTACAACAACACAAGAACTATATGCCTGGAATGTTCCACAGTAGTGCATACAATTCTTCTATCCAGCGTTCTTAATGTTCTTACTGAGCTCGTCTCTCCACAGATCTGATTCAAAATGACATCATTACTGCTCCTGTTGTGCAGTTCTTATAGTTTGTTAGAGTCTGGGCAGAGAGTGCAGCAGAACTTCAGATGAAATATGAGATGTCTGAGCCCATAAAAAGTTCTATATTGTTCTTATCGTTCTGTGTGTAAGAACAATCTTGTGAATGATTTGGCTTAACCTGGCCTGGAAGCATCATCTCTTTGTTTAAATGGAATAAGACTGCATTGAATATCATTCTATGGAACATTCCAAACAAAGCAATAACGTGTCCATGGAGACAAGCAGGCGTCAGAAAAGTGACATAATGGACCTTTAGAGGAATATAACAATATAAAAGCGGAGAACTACACCAAGGAAACAGTGATATTAAGAAAGACCCCAAACAGATTAAAAACAAAGAGAAAGTGCAGCTTTGTGCTGTGCTGTAACAGTTCAAACATTAAGACTGGGCGCACAACACGGGGCCAGTAAACAGTGTGTTACATAAACTGAACGGCCCGAACCTGAAGCCATATCCTGAAGCTCATTTACTGTGTGTACGTTTTCATTTTATTTCATTGTTTTTCTGGCTCTGACCCAAAACAATGCAGTTCAGTTTATCCTTATAAAACCACAGTGAAGAGGATTTCACATAGAATGTTTGGATACACATACATACACATACAGACGCACACAGATGAACACAAAGGCAGACAGATGCACAAAAAGGCAGACAGATGCACAAAAAGGCAGACAGACTCACACAAAAGTACACAAAGGCACACAGATGTACACAGACACATACATATGTACACAGACATACATAAACGCACTCAGATGTACATAAATGCACACAGAGGCACACAGACGCACACAGATGCACAAAGATGTTCACAAAGGCAAACAGATTCACACAGATGCACACAAAGTCACACACAGATGCACACAGACATACACAGGCACACACAGACACACACAAAGGCACACAGACACACACAAAGGCAGACAGATGCACACAGATGCACCAAAAGTCACACACAGACATACCTAGATGCACACAGACGTACACAGGCACACACAGACGTACACAGATGCACACAAAAACACACAGATGTACACAGACGCACACAGATGCACACAGATGAACACAAATGCACACAAAGACACACAGATGTACACAGACACATACATATGTACACAGACATACATAAACACACTCAGATGTACATAAATGCACACAGAGGCACACAGACGCACACAGATGCATACAGATGCACAAAGACGTTCACAAAGGCAAACAGATTCACACAGATGCACACAGTCACACACAGATGCACACAGACATACACAGGCACACACAGACACACACAAAGGCACACAGACACACACAAAGGCACACAGACACACACAAAGGCACACAGACACACACAAAGGCACACAGACACACACAAAGGCACACAGACACACACAAAGGCACACAGACACACACAAAGGCACACAGACACACAAACAAACAAACAGAGCTTCATAATGGTTTAATAAGATCTGGAAATGTCTGTATTACTGTGTTTGCCTTGACGATGAGCAAAATACAAAAAAATAAATAAATAAAAATAAAAAATCATTTTTGCAGTAACTATGAAGTGACACAAAATTTAACAACAACTATTTCATTTGAAACATTTTGCTGTGATCCAAAGATATTCTAATTATTGAGCATTCTAATTATTCAACATGATGAGTTTATAAGTGCTTTTAACAACTTTGTCATGGTGAAGCTAATGGCAACCAGTACCAATAACAGAGCAGCTGTTTATACACGACACAAGGCCCAATTTAATATAAAACACAATTGTATGTCATATATATATATATATATATATATATATATATATATATATATATATATATATATACATATACAACTCTCCATCAGTTTGGGGTCCGTGGCCTGAAAAACATTGAAGACTACTGGTTTAAATAATGCAAAGCAGTCTAAACTAGGATTCACAAAAGTGTTGAAAAGTATCAGAAAATAGCCGATGCTAAAACTACTGTAGTATCAGTCACTATCAGTATCAAAACTAAAAAAGTTCCACTGAGAGGACAGAAATGAACCTTCAGCTCTAGAATGATGTTGACCTGTATCAGAACAAGTACAGTTGTGCTCATAAATGTACATACCCTGGCAGAATTTATGATTTCTTGGCCGTCTTTCAGAGAATATGAATGATAACACAAGAACTTTTCTTTCACTCGTGGTTAGTGCTTGGATGAAGCCATTTATTATCAAACAACTGTGTTTACTCTTTTTAAATCATAATCAAGTCATTGACCTTCAAGTCCAAGTCGAGTCCCAAGTCTTAGTCTATTTTATCAAGTCAAGTCTCAAGTCTTAAAAATAATTACACAAGTCTGACTTAAGTCCTAGTCACAACTTGCAAGTCCCACCTGTGCTACCATTTAAAGGTGCACTATGTATAACTTTTCTGGTGTCTTCATGGGGACATGGAGTTTGGTGTAGAATGTTCCGGTATGACAGCATATCCATCTTGCATTTCCTCAGTAACATGGGTTTTATTGATCTCAAAACTTGCCTTCTTCTTATCATGAGTGGCTCACCTCTCCACAGATCTGACATGTAACTTGGCCCTGTGGTGTCGCCTGCTGTCTCCGCTGAGACTGTGGAACATTCCAGCAACATCTCCATGGAGAGAAGCAGGTTTCAGACTCTCCGCCAAAAAAGTTATTAGAAAAAGTTTGAAAATCATACATTCAGAAAGACAGTATTGTTATTATATTATTATATTATTATTATTATTATTATTATTATGAATATCAAATCTATTCCTTAGCATGAAAATCAAGTTTGAAATGTTATTATCCTGGCAGCGCTGCTCTAAACCAGCTCTCATAAAGCGTTGGTGTGCCCGCCTGATCTCTCCACATTCTTGGCGGGCACAGAGCGCGGCGAGGCAGGGGGCGTGTACCATCGGCCGAGCCTGGATGAGCCCAATTTTCCATGTGGACAGACGGGACTGTTCCAGGAAAAAGCCAGTGAGCGATGCAGACGTGGCCGGAAGCGTGCGGCGCTGGAGCGTTTCAAATGTAATTACACCACTAATAACTGCAGCCATTAATTCTTAAGCCTCTTTACTTTCTCATTTGCCTCTGCTCACTACATTTAATCTCCCTTATGATGCTGCAACTAAGACTTATTTCCAAGCCACAGGACGCTCAGGAGAAGTACATAACTTTTTGGGTACTTCTTATAAGGTCTAAATAATTATGAAGTTTGGAATTACTGAGAGTTTTGAGGAAAAAAAAAAAAAAAAGCTGTGCCATCACTATTCAGAATAAAGAGAACGGAACAATATAAATCCTGCATGTTTGTTGTATGTATGCAGACCATTATAGAGTTGACTAGGGCTGGAAATCACAGCATCGCTCACGATTCAATACAATACATCATTAAAAAATCTAAATTATATACTGCACATGATACTCACGATACTACAAGAACATTTTAGCAACAGTATTTCTTTGTTAAACCACTACTTGTGCAAAGTGAATACGAAATAAATTTTTTGAATCATTAAAAAGTGCATATGACAAGTGTGTTGCATAATTAAGTTTTACGATAAAATACTCTTGGGCTACGTTCAGACTGCAGCCTGAAGTGACCCAAATCCGATTTTTTTGGCCCCTATGCTCCTGTATCTGATCTTTTAATGACAGTCTGAACCACACAGATCTGATTTTTTTTTCAAATGTGACCCAGGACACATGCGACTTCAGTCTGAACGGCCAGGGCACATTCATCCCACCTACACCTCAGGCTCGGAGTCTCGTCAATGGAGGGAAAGTGAGGATAGAGTGTTCATTAATATTTGGGGGGATCACTGTATTCAGGCCAAATGGGAGGGGTCTTATAGGAATCGGGCGTTTTCTGAAATAATTGTCAAAGAAAGGTCCAAGTGTAACTGCAAACGGTCCTGGCTCCAATGCTCCAATGCTGTCACTAAAGTTTAAGGGAAATCTAGATCTGATTTTCTGAGGGTCAACCCTCCAAAAAATGTCAATAAGCGGATTATATTTTCTACTGTATACTCAAAACCCGCAGAACAACTTCAAAACATCATAACAAAACATTGGCATATACTACAAACTGACCCTTCATTGGGTGTGGCTTTTAAAGAGCACCCCCTAGTGGTGTATAAAAGAGGAAGAAACCTTGGAGATAGACTTGTGCACTCCTGTCTTCCTCCAAATCAGACCAGATCATATTGACTCCTGTTCCTGATGGAAATCGCCTGACTGCACCGCTGTGGTGGTGCAGTCAGTGTAACTACATGTGTCGCTGCAACAGTTTTAAGCTCCTCACACTGGAAAAGAAACACTGATCAGAGGAATTATATCCTGCAACACCAAGTCTGTGATTTACACGATCACTTGCCCCTGTGGTAAAACCTGTGTGGGTAAAACAAGCAGGGCTTTAAAAACACATACTGCAGAACATAGGAGCACAATCAGATGTAAAAACATGAACTGTCCTGTGGCGGTTCATTTGAATGATTTTAACCATCCTGTCTCTTCCTTAAGATATACTGGCATTGAACACGTAGAACTGCCCCCTAGAGGTGGGAATCTAGAAATGCTCCTGTCAAAAAGAGACACTTCTGGATTCACCAACTTAAGACTCTCGCTCCTCACAAAGTGAATGTGGAGTTTGATTCTAAGATGTGTTTTTGTGATAGACTTAAACTATTTCTGTATTTTATAAAATGTTTTTTTTTTTGTAAATATCTAAACTGTTGTTTCTTGTTGTAGAGTAGGTTTAACTCACTGGGTG